GTTTTCTTTAAAATTGTTTTCTTAAGGTTGTCACCTGTGGAAATGTTCCCCTTGAGTCATCATTCCAAAAAGTTCCCCGATGTGTTTATACATCGACAAGCTTGTATGAGTACAGGGGATGGGAATCCAAAGCAGCAAACCCGACTCATCGCCGCTTTACCTGGGGTCTTCGTACATTGGAGGTGAGAGATTTCTGGTTTTCTTGCATATTATATATCTTTTGCTCCACTGAACATATTGCTTACTCTATGTATAATACTTTGACCAATCATTGACGGATAATCGCCAAGTTTCTTTTACTTTCATTCACAACATTTGAATTACCTTACTCTGATTAACACATGCCGTCCTTCGTTTCTCATTCCTCATGAGATCTTTGCTTTATGAAAACTTATAACCAAAAAAGAAAACCACGTGTAGCAGATTTCTAGCTTTTGCGCTTGTTAAAATCTGATTTCATCTTTCTATGAATGCATCTATATATGTACTCGTGACTGGAATTGTCGACCCATTTGAATGCATTGGGGCTTTAGCATCCTGTGATATGAATAAAATTCAACTTTCCTTTATTCTTTCTTCATTTCCTTTTCCCTGTTAGTGGAATCCTTTAAATGCCAAGTGACATGTTAATGTGTCGCGATTTCTGGTTTTAATTTGAAGTAATTCTGGAAATGATTCTTATTTTATCCGAGTGCAGAGGCACATTGTTGATTTCTATATTTCGGACTTCCAATCTGGGTTAAGGGCATTGGTGAAAACTGGGTATGGTGCAAGAGTGACACCGTACGTGGATGAATCTGTGGTGGTCGACATTAACCCGTCCAACAAGGATATGTCTCCTGATTTTGTGAGGTGGTTGGGAGAGAGGAACCTCTCGAGTGATGACCGCGTAATGCGACTCAAAGAAGGGTACATTTCGTCATCCCTTAATTTTCTCTCTCTCACTATACACACACACACACACACACACACACACACACACACACACACACACACACACACACACACACACACACACACACACACACACACACACACACACACACACACACACACACACACACACACACACACACACACACACACACACACACACACACACACACACACACACACACACACACACACACACACACACACACACACACACACACACACACACACACACACACACACACACACACACACACACACACACACACACACACACACACACACACACACACACACACACACACACACACACACACACACACACACACACACACACACACACACACACACACACACACACACACACACACACACACACACACACACACACACACACACACACACACACACACACACACACACACACACACACACACACACACACACACACACACACACACACACACACACACACACACACATATATATATATATATCTTGTTTGGGTGTGTGTGTGTCACACTATGTTTGCTTATTGCATGTTGATATGTTGTGACTTGTGAGCAACGGTACGGTTCGGTAAAAACTGCCGCAAAAAATCGAAAAACTGAAACTATAAAAAAAAAGTACCGAACCGCACCGCAATTTAGAAAAGAAACCTACCGAACTGACTTTTTTTTTTTTACATTGAAATAACCGAACCGCACATCGGTTTTTGGTTGTATCATGATTTTTTTTTTTCTATACATCTTATTCAATTAGTTCGGTGCAAAACCGCACCGAACCAAACAAAACCGAAAACCGAACTTACAAAAAACTGTAACTGCACTGCACCGCAATGTAGGACAAAACCTAACAGAAAATCTTGCACATTAGAAAAAAACGAACATTTTAGCTTGGTTTTGCTCACCCCTAGTTCTATCTTGTATAAAACATGAGAGAAAAATGTTAAATTGTGCTGTGTAATTGAAATTAACTACAAAAATTACTCGAGGTTCAGATAATTACAATTTACAAAAGAAAACCAAGAACACACCTACACGGCTACACCTTTAGAACTGGAAACTTTTCCTTTTGTTATTTTGCTCAACTTCAAGGTTGAGTTTTAAAAATTAGATTGCCATAATCCCTGCTCGTGATGTATTAACGTGACTGATGTTATTGACACCGAAAGCATTGGAAAAAACATGTGCATCATTTGGCCTCTTTTGCTTATTCACAATCAATCTGAGCTTATTATTCGTTTCCTTAAATCTACATTATCAGGTACATCAAAGAAGGCAGCACTGTAAGTGTAATGGGAGTCGTGCAAAGGAATGAGAATGTGTTAATGATTGTACCCCCACCTGAGCCATTCTCGACCGGTTGTCAGTGGAGTAAATGCATACTTCCCGCAAGTCTCGAAGGCATTGTTTTGAGTTGTGAGGACACTTCAAAGATTGATGTCATACCAGTTTAGCATATCTTGATCGATTGTGCTCAAG